TGTTTTAAAATCATACAGAAAATTATTTCATAATTATTGTTGTTCCGTGCATAAAAAAATTAGTAACTACAATTTTTTGTTTGTTTTATCATCATTGACTGCACGCCATCTGAAGATTTTAATAAGAACTCATAACAAATATGAACCAGCAGTCATTATGAAACATATGCTTTATACACAGAGGGCGCTTAAATCTATTTTATTGCATTATTTAGACTACTGAATCAAATCGGTTAATGCCATTTTATTCTGTATTCTTTTTCAACTTTTTATTGTTTATATTACATTAATTCAATAATAATCAATCATTAATCATTTGTTTCGTTGCTTCTTATGTTCAATCTCCTACTCTTATACGACCTAGATGGGGTTGACACGACTATGAATCGTGTTGTTCAATCGTTTTCCGGCCGCTTGTTTTACGTCAACCTCCTTTGGGAACAAACAGCCAGATCCGAAACAATAATTTGTGGGTCTTACAAATAGTTCTCGTGTGAGAATCGAACCCACGACCACACCTACAACAACTGCACCACGGAGTCATCATTTTTAATTTTGTCTCATTATGTCCCACTGCTGAGAAATGGTCAGAGGAATTTGCTCAGCAGTGCAAACAGTATTTGTGCATAGTCCAGCAGGTGACCCCACTGCGAATTGCCAGATTTCAAATATATTTGAAATATTTTTCTAGTTAATTATATTATAAGAAAAAAGAAAAAAATATAGAAAAATGGGCGTTTTACATTCGTATAGAAAAACATTTCTTAGATTTTTTTCTTAATTTATAACCGATGTTTTTGCTCTCAGTCCGTAGACTTGCCATATATCGTACGAGCTTAAAACCGCCATCCGCTTTGGGCAGGGCCAAGGTGAAATTTATATATATGTAAAACGTCCTTACAACACAGGATAATGTTATCCTACTGCAAGGGGAATGTTTTTTTTTTAAAGGAAAGAAAGAAAAAAGAAGTAAGCAATTTAAAATTAGATCCTTCATTCTTAAAATCAAATTCTACTAAACGCTGAAATGAAAACAAGTATAGGAGTTTTTCAATGTAAATATTTATTTTAAATACTATAAGTGCTTATGGTAACCAATGATACAATGTCGCGCTAATCTTAACATCTCAAATTTACATTATATCATTCTAAATCTTTCTTAGCCATCCTTGGCCTAATATCACCTCTGTTGTAAACACACGTAGCCAATTGCGAGCTGCAGAATAAAAAGTTTTATACCAATCCCTCGCATATTGAATCTTACAAAACTAGATATCTATATTATACTATAATTACTTTTCTCAACTAAACCATTACTCACTGTTACTGTGAATAATTATAGAATTATCCGTATCTCAAAGAATCCTATGTTACTGACTTTACACAGAGGCACACGATGCTTAAACCTAGATTGTTAAAAGCCTAAATCTCAACTCCACACTATGATGCGTCACCGCTAAATAAGTCGCACGAAATGAATACCTAATATGACTTAGTCTTAAATCAGGACTTCATGGGACAGAAGAAGACAAACCGTAAGCTTCACATTTATTTCCTTAACTTAATTCCAAAAAGGCCAAACTTCGTACTATTAATTAATACTTTTAAGGATATTTCATGCGAGAGTAAAAACTGAGCAAAAAACTAAATACATGAAAAGATACCTATACCATGTTTAGCAGTAATGTATTGGGGTAAATTAATTGAAAGAACATTTTCGGGTGACAATATTTCCTATTGTATCCAGTATCCGTTAAAAGCATCTTACGCCGTGTGTGCATAGTTTTAAAATAATTCACTTAACTAGTACGTATGTATATTAATTATATTTCTCTAACCTAACACTATAGGCGGCCCTCCGACCTCGCTTCCCATGACCGACGTCGGCATACTTATAAACTACTTACTTTATAATATTCATTAAACGATTTTGCTACACCCAAAACGCGTTTCTCAATTGATGACCTTTCAAGAAGTCTACGTCTCGGGACATCGAAGCGAGCTTTTGCACTACGCTGAAGCAAAGCCATATAGCCTATGATAAATGACTTTACATTCTACCTTTAATGCTTCGGTAGCGTGTGAACAGTGTATATAATATTAAAGTACACCATCCATATATCAGGTTGAACAGTAAATAACTCTGTTAATATTGTCAAGTCAATCCATGGTCATTTAACATTTGAATTATTAATATATTGACAAAATTTGCCAGAATGTTAAGTTCGTCTCGCCCTTTATGTCTAATTTACATGTGATACCCGTGTAAGCTTCTAGATCTGATGAATCTGTTCTATAAGGCAGCTACTCTCAAAAGAAAGTTTGCGTCAATAAAGAATTCGGGATAAACTCAGGAATAATCGATAATATCCTACTGTCTACGCAAAATCGGACATATAAATTTGTGCCATGTGTTTTAAACATAAAATTTATTCATTTTTCCATTCTGTACACTATGCATGTATTTGTGAAACATCCATTAATTAAATTCCTTAACTAACCATTAACACTGATATTTAAACACTGCATATGTAAAATTAATATAGTGGTTACTTTTCATTCTACACTTAATGTAAACGAAACATCTTTTAAGTTTTCTACCTATGATACTATAATATTAGTAAAATTAAAATGTTAAGCTGTGGAAAAAAATTATCCACATCTATTTATTAATTATGTTTAAGCATAACCTAACTTATACTCTGTAAGTGAAAGCTCTAAGTGTCCTAAGATCAATAAAAGTTTGGATATTATGTCTTATCAAAGCCGCAAAATTAAAATTGAATTCATTTTTTAAAATAAAATTAAGTAAAAATCTTTGTCTATGTCAGTATATAAAATTGTGTTCCTAATCATCAAAATTATAAAAAAAAAGTAATGGACACAAGTACATGCCCCTACGAATTTTATTGCAAATTAAAATACCATAAATAAATATCAAATTTAAATAATACTGCAAAGAAAAAAAACTTGTTCAGTAAATGTCACATATTTATTCTGTGAATCTATAGTCAATATAAAGTAAAAAGCCTTACAGACTTTAATAATGGCTTGAACGAAGGAAGTGTGTTTATAATATTAACAAATAAAATATATATCTATGCAACAGCATGCAATAAAATTAATAACCATCAAATAGCATTGATTGTGCTGAAGAAAATAATGTGCATAAACAAAAAGGTATCGCTATATGATAAAACATATTGCTGCAAATTGATTAAACTTAAACCAAACATAAATGTAAGTAGAACTAATTATTTTTGGCCTGACTAAAGTAACTCGACTACACTGTCAATAGACAAAATTATCATGTCAATGATTCTTAAGGAAGGGAGCCTCATCGCACGGTAGCGTCGTGGCTATGAGCATTACAATTAATGATGGAAGAAATCACAAAATCTACAAATACTCACACAAATACTACTACTACTTTTCACTATTTCACTACACATTCGTACAAATCACAAACATATTAAGTAAACATACTCATTGTGTAATATAGTTAAACTAGAGATGAATTGTTAAAGTATGTTGTTTGTAATATTACTGTAAGAAAATGTGTGTATTAACTGTAAAAATACTCAGTTATTCAAAAAGAGAACTGTGTTGAAATATTATCAACTTCAAGCATTTCAATTGATTATGAAATAAATTACCACTCAATAATTGTTGGCACAACTGTGTATAACAGATTAAAATACACAGAAGACATTGTCAAACATTTCAAAATATCCTAATACTAAATTATTCTAATAACTTTATATTGTATTCATACTGTGTGCCATATTACGATTTATGTGGCTTCATTGTCATAGTGACTTTTAATATGATCATTTACTAATTGTTAATGTATTTACATTCATTTTGTAATCAAATGTCTTATAATATCCCAATTAGGAAAATTATCACAAATCTAACTAGACACAAACATTGCATGATGATATAATATATCACGTTTCGACTTAACAAGTAGTCATACAATATGACTACTTTCAAGGGTAAAGCTAGTGTGACTTCAAAATTTACCTTGCTCTCATAGAAATAAAATTCAAATTTGCTTATCAAACTAACAATTCAAACACAGATTTCAGAATCTATTAAAAGACAGATTTAAACTACTGTTTTTTTAATATTACAGAAAACTCGACTCTCAGTAGAGAATTTCAAGTTTGAGTTCAATTGAATAAACTAAGCATTGGGTACTTAACTTTAATAATAAAACACTAAAAAATTTACGTTAGTCAAGTTAAGAAACTAACAGTAACACTGAATATTGATGAAAGTGGCAACACAATTGTTACAAGATAATAATTTAATAGGTAAACAAATCTCTCCTCTTAAACATCACTTGTTAGTAAAAACCACCACATGGATGATCTGATATTTGGTTTTATTAAATCATAGTAGAATTGTATCCATGTACAATTGTGTCTTAATTACTAAAACATGTTGTGGACTCTGCAATGAGTGATTTTATCTAATAATATAATTTTATTTTAAAATTGTATCACTTCAACAACATTACAGGATAGACTACTATTTCAAGTCTTTCTTTGCATATCCATATGCATATTATGTATGTTGATAGCATAGACAGTAACTTTGATATGTCGTGTAAAACATATATGTAGGTGTCTTGAAATAATTAATTTCATAAAACCTTGGTCAAAGACAGGGGTACTGTCTTAATGTGATATTATTGTATTTTTACCCTGATTGTTCTTCTCGGCTCCTAAGGCTATAAGAACACCGTAAGACCATAATACTTGAAGGGATGCCAACATTACACTAATGTTTAGAACCAATTGTGCCTTTGAATTGCAAACTCGCTAGACTAGAACTGTTGCAGTAACAAAGCAAGTAGAGTTACTCAAGTAATAATAAGTGTTAATTGCACTATCCTATGCCACCAACACACAGCCACACTCTATTCTATATCACTGAGTCTCTGTGCCTTATTTGCACGCTATTTTTTCATCATCGGAGCCGCTTTCGGATCAGGTTTTCCTCAACTCCACCAGCTTGACGTCCTTCACGTGCAAGTCGTGCTTGGATTTCCCCGCAAACTTGATCACCGCTTGCGTAGACACGAGAGGTACATGCCGAAGATCCAGCCTGCAGACAACATAAACATATTACGTAAATTGATTTTAATATCTTTTGACAAAATAAAAAAAACATGAAAAAGTTAATTAAGGCGAGGTTAAGGTCAGTTATATGCAATTTAACTAGTCAGTATTTTTGTTATATGGCAAAATTAAAAATTACCAATTTGCCTAAGTATTATAGACTTTTGTATTTCGAGTGGTGTTTAATTTTAGACTTGACACCGCCACGAAGCCGATACCGTGACAACTGCACCGGCGGAGACTTCAATGCATGCATACCGGCCACAGCGTTAGGAACTTCGCGTACTCACCGAATGAGGTTAGGGCACCTGGCGAGGTGGTCGAGCGCCGCTTCGGTGAGCAGCCGGCAGCCGGCAAGAGAAAGCCGCTGCAGCGAGTGGTGCGCCAGTTGGGCCGCGCCGGCGTCCGTTAGGCGGGCGCACGAGGACGCGTCCAGTTCGCAGAGCTTCGGCAGCGCCTGAAAAAGGTGAGGGACGGTATTATAATTATAATGATTAATGATGATAATGATTGACATTTTCTACACGAGTACAGAAAAATCCCTAACCGGAACAAAAGCGAGTTGTGCTTGAAATTTTTTAAGCCTAAGAAAATTGTACTCGTCGTATACGTCGCGAGGTTGTACTAAAGTCCGTTATTGTCGACCTTCCGTTTTTTCCTTGCCCTCCCATAAGACGACTGCACCACGTAGGCGGGCGCTCGCTGTATCTGTGCGAGCGCGACGGCAATACATTTGCGCTTAGCAACGGAGACAGGCGATAACGATTCAACATTAGAAGTGCTTCCGCTTCGCAAGCGGACCGTAGCTTATTGCACAGACATCCACCACATAGCACAGGCTATGTCGGTGATGGTGCGCATTGCATCTGTGCCAGCGCAACGGCGATGCATCTGCGTGGGAATAACAGAGACGGACGATAACGGATAACGTGATAAATGCTTCACACTGCACGGCGCACACACTTGCGCCACGCCGGCGATTATTGGACATTACATTAGTGCGAGCGCGACGGCAACACATTCGCGCGGGAGCAACGGAGAAGGCGATAACGGGTCAACGTGAGAAATCGGCGCACGCACCTGCACCACATACCGCATAACCACGCAGTGATGGAGGTCATTGAACCTGTGTGAGCGCGACGGTAACGGAGAAAGCGATAACGGCCCAACAAGATGAATCGGCGGACGCACCTGCACCACGTAGCGCATGGCGACGTCGGTGATGTCGGTGCCGGGCAGCCGCAGCACCGAGAGCGCGGCGAGGCGCGACGGCTCGGCGCCGGTGCGCGCGCCGCCGCCCGGCCTCGACGCCTCGGGCGGCGCGAGCACACCGCGCAGCTTGGCGTCGTCCAGGCAGCGCGCGAACGACAGGTCGAGCGAGGTGAGCGGCGGGCAGGCGGGCGAGCGCAGCGCCAGCGCCGCCTCGGCCGGCGACCCGGCCAGCGACAGCGAGCGCAGCGCGGGCAGGCGCGCCAGCAGCCTGCGGTGCAAGTGTCGTTTATAATTTCATTTCGCCGATGTTACTAGTACAAGGAGGTCGCTTTTGTTCGATGTTATAGGTGAACGGTTGCTATTTGATGCTACCTGACAGATATGAATATTTTTTTCTTGTTAATGTTATCAACATTTTAAAGATTTAGAGCAGTTATTATGATGAAAATATTTATATAGATTGTTATCTATTTATATAGATTAATAACTGTATGAAAATAGGTGAACTCCATTACCGAAAAAAAATTTTTAGTTGTGTCCAAAATGGTAAAGCAGTCTCACGTTTGGGTATTATGTAAACTAGTCTTACATGTGCATTACTTATTTCTTTAACAATTCTCTAACTTAATGACTCCAAAATAGACCTAAGTTACAATTAACTTAGGTCTATTTTTCTTTTTCATATTACAAACGGCGACAATACAAGTGGTCCAAAAAATACAAAATATACACCCACCAAGCGAGTTGCCTCCTGGCTAGATGGCACCACTCTAGGCCGAGCGAGAGAGGCTGCCGGCGGACTATACCAGCCAGCTGGGCAGCGGAAACTCGCACCTGAACAAACGACATGTTGCGCCACAGCGACGGATCCACCTGTAAAGATACAAAACATGATCTCTAAAGGTATACGGTTTTTAAATTGCATAACTGCAATCGTGTAAATATATGCGCAGCTGTAATCACTATCATCTTAGCTCTTCCATTAAAAAGTGTGTGTACACGCGTTAGAAGTTATACTTCTGGCGTAACAAGATATAAATCTTTACAAAAATTTTATCTTTCGCCTTATTCTACGTTTGTAAATAACAAACAATAGAAAAAACTTATTTAATACATTTAAAGTTTTAATATAACGCATTATCTAGTTAGATTATTAAAGTTTATTTAAATATGACAAAATCAATATCGTGAATCAGTTGTCAGTTCTCACGCAAACATACGTAGATGTCTAGCTAACTTCAGGGTGTCTGTTTTTCGTGACTTGTGAAAATGTATTGTAGTCTTATCATTCTACTTACAGAGTAATCTGCCCAGGCTTTGCAGACGAGCGCACAGGTGGCCAGCTCGTGGGGCGTGAGTTTGGCGAAGACGCAAAGAACCGCATCGCGGTCCAGCCAAGGCGAACCGGGCACATTAGGTGACGGCGAATAGCCGGCCGGTCGGACCGGATACAGAGGTTTCTTCAGGACCTGATTGGATTTGACGCATTTTCAAACACAAAGTCTCGATGGAAACTGAAGGAAAATACCCAATTCTTACGGGTTTATCATAGATATGATACATAGATAACAATAGAGACAAAGATGAGGCGCAATGGGGGTTGAACTTACGGAATAAAGCCCGAACCGCAGCATGCAGTAATAAGATTGCAGCATTAAAAAAAATGTGAAATATATATACAACCAGCTATTACCTCAATTGAGGTTACTAGACTTGAGACCTCCATTGTTGTTATGTTGTTGTTGTTAATGGAATATTTTGATGACTCCGTGGCGCAGTTGACAAGGTTTTGGCTTTGGGACAACTATTTGTGTGACCTACAGATGGTTGTTTCGCATCCGGCTGTTTGCCCGCGTGAAATTTATGTGTGTGAAACGTCCTTACAACACCAGATAATATTATCCTAAAGTAAGGGCGATATTTTTTTTAATAAGGATAAATAATAATATTTTAGGTAAGAGTACTTATATTCTCTTAGTGATTCACAAGATTTTAATAAAGGTAAAACATTGGTATCATACTGTACCTTGGCGGTGTGGTGGGTGAGCTGCAAGGCCAGATGCGCTCGCAGTGCTTGTTTCTTCGGCGCCTCGTCCTCATTGCTGGAGCGTCGCTTCTTCGCCGCAGGCTCCCAGCCTTCCTCTGCGCCCTCGCCGACACCCTCCTCTCGCTTTATTTCTGCGTTCCCAACGAAAATGCTTCATTTGTATAAAGATCACAAATATTTTGATGGGGGAGATCAATACAGTTGGATTTAAGACTAATACATGCAATGAGGGTTTCATTAGAGTTTGTTCTAAAACCTACATTTTGTATTTATTAGAAATAAATGCAAAATCAGAATACAAAGAGTCACTTAGTTCATTTAAAGGCTATAAATATTTTCATCCCTATTGACAAATTTTAAATGAAATTATTGACACATTTTTATTAGTACGCGAACTATACCAATTCATAATATTATTGGACTCAACTACTGTTAGAAACATTCAAGATTGGTACTTACGTTTGACAAATAATTTAAAATATTGGACACTCACCATCTTCAGATTTAAGATGCAAAACTTCGTTTTTATTTTCAGTATCCGATCCAGCCTCTGACTTGACATTAGACGAGGGAGGCGGCGGCGGGGGTAGTTTGTTCTGTGAAGATATTTTAAGATGACATTGAAGTTAGTCGGTTTCTTTACATTAATTTATATTTGGATAGCAAAGTAAAAAAATATCCATAAAAAGCTTGTGTTTAATGAACATACCTGAACATTATTATGATGTTGTCCAAGTTGACTAACATCTGATCCCACGCTCACGCGACGCAGATCTGAAGACTTCTGACGAGCACGGAAGTGACGTGGCTATAAAAGTAAGAACATATTTTATAAACATTTCATTATACAATAACTATATTATTTCATTACAAATGCAGAATATATTATTTCAACATTTTTATAGTATGTTTCTCTTTATAGTCGAGTAGGTAAAATTCAAAAGTTTCAATTTAATTGTATCTATATTAGTATAGTATGCAATATAATGCATACTGGGTGTTTACTGTGTGTGTGTTATTGGTTATTGAAGCATCTCCTTCACTTCACTTTTTGTACACCGAAATCAATCTCAAAATATGAGGAGTGTGAATATGACGAAGATACCGAAAAAAAGAAACACGGGTTGTTGGAGTAAACTGAATCAAAAATCTCTTCCGCATCTTCATGTATAAACATTTTGCTTTCGTATGTTTGTGTCCAAAAAACTCAAATTAGCTGATGGATTGACTATATGCTTGTTCTTAACATAGCTATTGAACAGGAGTGTTTTTATATCCCGTTCATTGGTAAATTCCAACGGAAACGAAAAGAAAGCACAGCGAAGCATGGCCGGGTACAGCTGGCAGTATTAATTACTAAGCAACGCATGCCTTGTAATCGTGGTTCAGCCCCATGGTGGTGCAAGTGGGGCACTCCCAGGAGTTGGGCAGGTCCTCGTTGAGCTGTCCGCCGGGCGGCACGCAGCCGGGGTGGACGATGCTGTAGCACACGGAGCACTCGCGCAGAGTTGACGGGCCGTTGCGACCTGTCGGCAAACAATCTCTACTTATTTCTCAAAGGTGACAGTTACAGAAGTTATGACGGAACACCATAACTTCTGTAACTCTTCATCAAGTTTTATAATTCAAGTTTTATGATTAAAACTTATCAAGCCAAGTGGGGTATGGTTAATGTTTTCATTTAAAAAAAACTTTTTTAGATGGAAATATCATGCATTCTTTAATGTGTGACATTGCCATCTATTAACAATTTGCTTAAACGAAAGATAAAAGAGTAAAGTAAAAAAAGGTTATTCCTGAAAATGTGGTACCGTTCATTGATAAATACTCTGCGACAAGTTAGCACGGGTCAAATAGTAATATTTTAAATCGCGTAGTTACAGCTAGAGGAAAACACTAACATCCCTTTCCCTGCACATGGACTTGATGTCCATCTATTGCCTACAAACTGCTTTCTTTGCAATAACTTGGGCTCAATTTTGCATATATTAAACTATGTTTTCTAGTCCATAACTAAGGTAAGCTGATATACTATAGGTACCAGGTAGCTGTTAAACAAACATAAAGATAATTTTATTTTTTAAATAAATATTATAATATAAAAGCATCTAGCAGAAAAATAATATATTCGTTGTGCAATATTTTTTCATTAGTAGCAACCAAACCCACATCCTCTGATGCAAGAAAAAAATTCACTAACCAGTACGCTAATTGGGATTATCAAAGAATTCGAACCACTTAGTAGCTGGTACATATTATTTAAATACATTTTCTTAATCCACCAGCTACTATGATGTTTAGTACAATAAACAATTACCCGAGTTACCCTTGGCTTGTGGTGCGACTGGCGTTTGCATCCAACCGTCCAAATGGCACACCGCGCACGAAGCTGTCACCGGCAGCATGGGCTGAAATAAATAATGACGTTTTTATACAATGTCACTACATGGGCAACAAATTAGTTTATGAATAAATGTAATAAAAATGCAGTCAAAGGCTAAACATTGAACTTATAAGAAATGCGTTATCGCAAACTAAAATAGCGAGTTACACCTATGTATAATATATTATGTAAGATTATTACGTATCAAGTTTATTTTCACCTGTAAACACTGACGCATAACGCAAGTTTGTTTAGCGCGACCCAGTCCACCGAATTTGACCATGTCGTGGCAGAACACGCACTCGCCGCAATCGGTGCGCTGGCAGGCTTCGCATTTCTTGCACCTAAAATAAATATTAATAAGAAATTAACTGTTGTTATATTTAAAAAAAAGCAATAAAGCCAAAGAGAAACAATCGGATCGAATTTTCACCGTTGCTTTCTGAGCAAGAAGCAAATGTACTTTGAATTCGATTCCAGTACGGTAACAGTTTTGCGTGACCTACAGTTGATAAATGCCCCGAGGTTTGTGTAAAACATTAGCACAATATGTGAGACTGAACAAAATTAAATGGTTAAAACTTGAAAATAATATATGAGTACAATTGTATCTGTATTTTTTGTATAACGGATTGGGTAGTAAGTCCCAACCACTGTCCCAATCCTGTGCTGTTAGGATGTTTGTTTTGTAATGTCGCATGAATGCGCAGCTCAACGAAGACCGGCGTGAACTGGGAGTGTTGTAGAGGCGCCGAAGCCAACTCGGCAACTGTCCCATGAATAAATACACTTGTGTATGTGTCACCTGGTGCGCCTGCGCCGGGGCGCGCCGTTGGCGTGTTCGGGGCGGGGCCTGGCGGGGCCGCTGCGGTGCGCGCCGCCACGCCCACCGCGCCCGCCCGAATGGCGGCGCTCCGACGACGCAGACTCGTCCGGACCTGGAATTTATAATGATAATTATTATTATTATTGCGAACCAATGTTATGTTTACTTCCAAAGTTTGGATGCGAGCGGTTTACATCATATAAATGTGTCGAAGGGATTTCGTAGGAACCGGTAACGTAGATCTGTACTCTAATCTAGAAGATTACTAATAACTGTAATCTAGAAGATCTTCTATGTATCTCTGTTGTAGTGTATGTGGACAATCACCAAGATCCAAACAATTATCTGCAGGTCTCACAAATATTTGTCGCGTGTGGGAATCGAACCCACGACACCCGGCGCCGTAGACAATACCTTGGCTACTGCACCACGGAATCATAAAAACATTACGATTTAACTCAGCACTACGCGTTCGCAATCCAATTGAAACGTAGTTTTAAAATGTTACCCTTGAGAACCGGAACACCGGTGACGGCCAGATGCTGTTTGTCGTGGCGGTGCTGCTCGACGAGGGTGCGCACGTCGCGCACCAGCGCGATGGGGTCGCTCAGCAGCTCCGGTACGGACTTCCTGGCCGCCGGCAGCTGGTGCAGGTACATCACGATGGCCTGCAATTTCATGTCTCCATATAAGTTTAATGATACGATGAAATACCGCAAAATTAACTCGATGTAACTTTTATGGAACGAAATTATATCTTATGTGAGGTCGTGGTACAGCCCATTCGCGTAACTTTTTTAGTTGCATACTGCATTCTTAGTTCATTTGAATATAATAAAAACGTAATAAAAATAAGTATCGTAATAAACACCATATAAATGGATGTACCATTAGCTTAGAGATTACCTAGTGTTTCACGTCTTGTTAGAAAATACCTTCCTATTGTTAACAGATACGATATAAGATGAATATCAAATGCATATATAAGTATGTTCTACGTGGATCTACCAGGGTGATAACTCGTTTAAAGTCAACTTCACCTTAAGTCCGTGTAACTCGTTCTGCGTGAGATGCACGTGCTCCTTAGGGGGCGTGGGCGTAGTGCTCTGCCCCTCGGGGGCGAGGTGAGTTCTGCCCAGCAAGGCCGTCACGTAGCGGTCCAGCACGTACCACAGCATCTCAGTGAAGAAGGGATAGCGGAATTTCTGAGGCACCTGGAATTTAAAAAGGTTACTCTGTTAAAGAAGCCTACGTGTTTATTTTATGATTACTAGTATTAACTACATTGTAAATCGAATTTATCATTCTATAAATAAAACATTTTTTATTATTTAAATTAAAACCAACATGTTTTATGTGACGTAAAAATATCGAAACAAAATGAATATTTGTACAGTTTATATACGCAATTTTTTTAAAATAAATTTCACAACTTCAAACTTACATTGCTAACTAGCTTGAAATTATAAATCATTATCAAACATATAAAATAGGACACTTCTTAATTGGACTAGGAACTAAGTTTAACTATAAATCGCAATCGAAAGACTTCACTATGGACGATGAACATTATATGAATAAAAAGATTACTCGTAATAAAACTTATGAAGTTAGTACACCGTACCTTCGTTACGTCTTCAACTTGTGCTATTTTCAGCTGCTTCTCAATACCGAACTGATGCAAGAAGTTGCCACCGAAAACGAGCGAATCGCTCGGCGTGTACACAGCGTGGATCCATCCCGTTGGAATAAAGAAAGTGTGGCCAGCTTGTAGCTGTAAATCAAAGACAATTATACAATTAGTAATAATAAAGCGATAGTGAGATAAAAGCGATGACCTTTTTTCTAATATTATCGATTCTCTTCTCTATCTCTTCGTGGATTAACAACATGCATAAAATACAATAATAATTAACATAAGATTGGTTTGTTAGCGCAGCAATAGACTGGGTTCGATTATCACCCCCGGGTGTGTGGTCATCAAACACTTGTGCCGTCAAGTGTTTGATGACGTACAGATAATGTTTTCGCGTCTTCGTGTTTCTTGTCTTGTTTAACTCGCGTTTTTAAAACGACCCTACGAGAGAGGATAATCTTATCCTACGGTAGAGGAGGAAATATTATAAATAAGAGAAAAGAAGTAATTATGAAGCATTTATTTTTAGACAGGCGTCAGCGAAGATCCGCAAGTTCGATTTCGCTTTACGAAAATAGTTCAAACGCTTGTGTGAAAATTTATTTATTGCAAGCTTTTATTAACGAAAAACAAAACCGCCTTTACATATTTCGCTCTGTATTCATTTTACAATTGATTTTCCTGAATTCCCTTAGTATCTCCGGAGCCCAAATTCAATACCAATGAAATTAATATGGGATCACATAGGAAGCACCAGATTTCAAATAAAAATAAGAATCATCAAAATCGGTTAACTCAATCGCAACTTCTTAGGTAACAAACATAAATCATATAGTCTAACTGGGAACCTCCCCTCCTTTTTTGAAGTCGGTTAAAAATGTGAAAAGATCCGAAATTCTGTGCGTTTCAAGTTAAACTTGATATTGAGTTATCGTCGTTATTGTTTTAAAGATTATATGTGTTTTAGTCAGCAATAACATTGATAAACTTACGTGCACACGTATGCATTTCTCAACGGTATCCCCAAAGAACACATCAGACTGTTTGCCGGATAGGACCCACTTCTCGTATAGCTGCAGATTCTTCTCAGTTGGCGGAATCAGCCAGAACACTTTGGCTCCTTAAATTGGGATGTCGATATTAACGCATTAGACCTCTTCCTGATAATACAGATGCAACAAAGGATTTCGATAATGACACAAAATGAACGCTCCATAATAATTAAGTGTATTTTTAAATATACCATTAAATTATTTATATTCATGTGACAAAAAATCGATGATTAGGGCATTTCCTCTAAATAAATGGGTTCAGATTTCACTTGAAAAAAACTTAATCTATGTTTCCATTTCTAAAAATGTAAATTTTATTAAAGTAATATATCGTCAATTGTCCTCACCCCTCAAAATGTGGTACCACACCGAGGTACCGCCGAAATCAATATGAAAGTCCGTGTAGCAGCCTTTGACCGACATGAGGCAATACTTCTGTACCTTCGGATACATCATGTCGTCCAGGGCGTTGGTCGACTCAGTCTGAAAAAAAGTTCCGTGCAAATATTCCAAATTTTCGTTGCCACTATCACAATGGAAAGGGGTCGTTTGTAAAGTCATTAAAAATGGGGAGCGACAATAATATTGCAACTGGTAATCCGAGGCCTTCTGAACGATTAAATGAAATTGACTAGTGCCTTTGTTTTTATTTTTACGCTTATTCAGAGTCTAAAATTATTCGTTCCTAAGCGAGTAAAATACTGTCGTTTAGGATACATGAATGCGATTCAGCGGAAATATGTCTTTTTTACTTTAAGAGAGAATAAGGTAAATTTGTAGGACTTTTTCATAGAAAAGTGATTATACACCATAGACCCGTAAACACTCGAAACATCAGAGATGCATATTGTGTGTCAAATATCATGTCATATGTATGTCAAATATCCCATCTCACTGGTTACCCTCAGTCGAAATGTCATAGCTGTACTTTCCCGTTTATAGCGAGTCAGGGCTGAATCTGAAGCTAAAGCGTGGCAATGGGAACCCACGTGGTATCAATTGTGAAATGTGGGAAACGACGCATTGAAAATCCGATATTTAATTGAATTTAATTGAAAGCGTGCTAATATTATTTTGTTATTTAAACCAAATTAAACGAGAAAATATATATTTCTCGCTCTGCGTCAAATAGTAACCAGGCTACAATATGTTGTTTGTTTGTGGTATCTTACGAACCTATTTATATTTTTTATGTAAAATTTGAAGATTCATGAGGAGGCTCAAGCGTCTATTTCAATAAACATATTTTTGATTGATTGATTGGTTGTGTGCTCTACGATAAAAATAATCAATTTAAAATTGCCCCGAATGAACAGAATCGGAGAAATCGTGAATGTCGCTTTCGATCCAGCAAAGCTCTTGAGAATAGACGTACAGTAACGCAGTATAAATTGTAGAATGGCGCACTGCAAATGCTTTCTCAACTTCATAAAACTTTCAATCACAAACGATAAACAATGGGTTCGATATTAATGAATAAAGTACACTTTATTGTACACCAGACAAAAGTAAAGGCCCATTTACACGATGCCATTTTCTTGTACATACAAGAGCAATAATTGAATGCAATAAATTGCGCGCAATAATTTGTTAGACCATTTGTTGTTTAGACCATGCAACTCATTTATTGCTTCAATTTAATTGTATACAACAGGCAAGAAACTTGCACCGTGTAAATGGGTCTTAACAAACAATTACATAAAGGTACAATTGGTGGCCTTATCGCTTAGAAGCGATATTATTTAGGCTACTTGACAAATGTTACAAAATATTGGAGCTTATTTTTATTATACATATAATATTTTATAATATAATTTAGGTACTCTTGTTCATCTCGACAATTTTGTTTGTAATAGTAACATTACGGTTTTACGTTTTTCGTGTACCTTTAAAAAAATAGAAAAATAGATGCGATATCCAGTATACTTATACTAATTAAACATAAAACATAAATGTAGTGCTGTATGTGATAAAAATAAGATAACACCAACTATATAATCAAAGAATGCTTGTTTTATTTAAACAACAGCTAATATAGTGGTTCAATCAATCAGGTTTTTACAGGACTCTAGTAATGAATAATGGAAATAACAAATATCCTATGATACATAAATTACAAAATCGTTGCCTGCTAAGTTTTGACGTCTATGTCAGACAGAGTTATATTACATACTAGCGGTTAATCGCGGCTTCGCCCGCGTGGCCAAAGGGAATTAACAATGTGTTTTTTTTATTATACACCAGAATATCTGGCTGAATTTTTTCCTACTCAGTTGACATTTATCATCTAATATATAAAATTCTCGTGTCACAATCTTAGTTTCCTTACTCCTCCGAAACGGCTTTACTGATTTTTACCAAATTTTATATGCATATTCAGTAGGTCTGAGAATCGGCTACTATCTATTTTTCATACCCCTAAGTGATAAGGGTGGTCCACCCCAAACATTTTTTAATCTATATGGCAAAACAACGTTCAGCTACAAACGGTCAGCTAGTTAAGTATCTATATTTTGGACAATTCACACAGTATCTATAAATTATAACCTATGTGTTATTCTGAAAGCTATATTATTGTAAAGTTTTATTACAATCTATTCAGTTAGTTTTTGCGTGAAAGAGTAACAAACATCTATCCATACATACAAACTTGCGCGTTTATAATATTAGTTAATAGTAAATATAGCAAGTATTAGTATTATAGTACTACATATGTGCTATAGAATTGGACTAAAGTAGTTATTGATTGTAAATCAAAATAAGCTTCATTAATATAATTTAATTTAATTAATACTAGTTGTCTAAGTCTAAGTTGTAATCTACAGCGTATATCATTTACAGAATTGTCCATGATTCAATAAAAAATAAAGACATTAGTCTGTTGTCAAAGGTTAACCGTGCTATTTCATTTATAAGAAGGACCAAGAGAATCAATGGTCATGAACGACAATAATTATTTATTGATAAAATATTCATGTCGATTAATTATTTAAGCGAATATAAATACCTAACAGAAAATGGGCATAGTAGTCATTAGAGAAATTTTCTGTAGAAGAAAACGTATATAGTAAGCCGAAACGGATTCTATGCGTTTATGCTCTCAAGGAAAGGAAATTACGACTCTGAAAACCAATCATCGATTGAAGTAAAACCTTAAATTGGAATGAAAAACGTAATATTTAGAACATACAACGGAAAGACAAATTCTTTCTTCACTCTGTGTTTCTCAAGAAATACCCTAAACGGCATGCAGCCCATGCCATACTTAGTGGCGGCTGTGAAGTGAGCCGCAGGTGCGGCCTTGCAAGGATTACAGTAAACTTGGCAATTGTAGAGCGTGTCACGCGCAAGTAATGCAATAAATTATGAATTATCAAGTATAGAATAAATTCATCAATATGTTTTAAGAAAGGAAGCTTAAATGCATTTGAAGCTGAAATAGTATTACAAAAATAAAATTATATTAGGCCACGACAACATATTATTATCGGTTTAATGTTACTAAATTTCCTGATTACACATTAACACTGGTTGTGGTGAAGGAAATTAATTATTAAAATATTTAAAACCTTTTCCGATTTGTAAATAATGCCACACAAAAACTTTAACAAACGATAAACAGCGGCAATAACTTAGAGGACCGTACTTGATTAGAGGCATGTAAATGTGTGCAACGTACAAACGACCTGTGCACACAGCCATAAAATTCGACACCCGCGCATCACTATTATTCGCTACTGCGCACCGCTTTACCGCCGACTTCACTGCAGCCATTAAGTTTGGCGCGAGCTACACCTCAACGCTTTGTTGGGCAGTGTTATAACTACGTAAAATTTGTTTCCGATTTGATGCTGATAATTCATGACCCCTTAAAAATAAGAACCGTGCTAGCTCAGTGTCCGGGCGCTCGCCTTTACTTCAATATACTCGAGCAACCTGAGTTCGATCCCCGGTGCCGGCACCAATTAAGTTTGTAACTTTAAGTGCTGCCTTATCACGTGCTCCGCGGTGAAGGAAAACATCGTGAGGAAACCTGCATATTTTCGAAATAATAACAAAAAAAAGATATTTTTCGAAGACATTATGTGAAGCCCGCCAATCCGCAGTGGGGCCTATGCCCTGATACCCTCTGTATAGAGGAGGCCTTTGCCCAGCAGTGGGACATGTATAATAAGGCTGTTAATTTTACTTTTTTACTTTAATAATAGAATTAAACCTAATGACTCCACAAACTGTAAATTTCTAAAAATCAAAAAGTGACATTAGATCTCAGTTAACGACGGGGACCAATTAAATTTAGTTTAATCTGAATACAATTCTGAATGACTGCCATTAATGAAGAACGAAATCTGTGGAAGTCTTACAAACAGCTGTTAAGCGTTAACCTGGTCACATTGGAAGCTGTACTTTGTGAGAGAAAAATGCAAGCGAATATTCCCGCCCATAGACGTATCTACAACACGAATGTTGCCAACCTTTACAAGAGTGGACCCCGGTGATCCCACCAACCAGACGCAGCGCAAAGATAAAATACTTAATTTTCATGCTGACGCTATTCTTCGTTGACTTTAAACTCAAACTTAATCGACTTTCAAAATTATTCATCATCAGCCGCAAGACGTCCACTGTTGAACATGGACCTCCCCCTAAGAAGCCACAACGAACGATATTTTGCCATGGATGCAAATCCATCCAACATTATGTGGATGTGGCGATTTCAAATCGACTCAAGACAACATACGACAGAGTACGTTACGTTACATCTTTTATATTCACCGATCGTACATTTCGGAATAAAAGACGACCAAGATTCAGTGCCATCATGTATGAAAAACGACCAAGGTAAGCAATGTAAACTTACAACTGCATGGCCTTACAAAATCCACACAGATCATTAACTTAGTAACTTCCTAGGCAATGTAATGTTGTTAGATTACCAGTTACAGCATATTATTTTTATTCAATACACCAGCTGTTCCATGCGATTTCATTAGCGAGAAACGTTTCTGCTTCGCCCCCGCGGATCGTAGTGTGATGTTAATGTTTTTTCATATCCTTCTGGTACTTCCAGATATTAGCGCGTGCAAACCCAACGAACTCTTCAGCTTAATTGTAAAAGTACATAGATTTTGATTTAAAAAAAAGTTCGAACATAGAACCTCTTCCTCCTTTAGAATTCCGTTAAAGGCCCCACCTGCTGGTCCTTCAAGTGCCGCGGCCAAACGGTTTCGACCCAGTCGATCATGCGCACGATACGCGGCGCCTGCACGTAGTTCTCGAGACGCGTGTGCGAGAACTCCAACGAGATGACGTTCAGAAGCCGCTCCTTGTTGGCGTCGTCGTAGTAGCGCTGCCAGTCCTGTGGGGATTTTTTAAAATTCAATATGGTAAAGGAGCAAGCGGTTCAACGGACTGATGAACACTTACGGACGGTTTCAATATTCAATATTCTATCTATCTGTAGATTTTGTTTACTGGAGATAGAATTACGTAGGTACGTAATGACGTAGGTATTGTGGAGCGAATGTTAAATACCTATCGCTTGTAACCAAATCTACAAACAGATAGAATATTAAAGCCCGTTAGGGCGTCGACTACCAGAGTTGCCAAGCTTTGCAATTCAATTTACTTATGAACGCTTACTCGTTGACTACCATTAACTGTCCTTAGGTACAGTCTCGTGTGTTTGTTGAATGTATAGATCGCTCATCGGGCACGGTGCACACAGAAAGGCTACAGTTTCAAGGGCTTGTTAATATCCCGCAAGTCGTCACGCATTTATGTAAATAGCTGTACATAATTGCTTTGTTAGGTTAGTCCACCTAGCGTCAGACATACATAGAAACCACGGGTCGGAGCTGCCGTCGCCTGTTTTAAGTTAACTGTGACCAGTGAGCACCATGGAAAGCGTGTTAAGGGCTTAACTTGCTCACCAGACGGTGCGCACTGTATTTATTCATTTATTTAAAACAGTGCAACAGCGCATAAATTTGACTTTCGAATTACAATAAAACGAATACAAATTGCTGATGCATTGCTATTCTGAATTTTTCATGCACTGTTGGACGTACACCATTAAACGGCACAGCAAGGGTAAAATATCGTATAATGGCCAAAACAAACAGATAAGGACTAGCTGGTGCCGCTACTTCGTCTGCGCAGGATTAGTACTTCGAGTCTTATTTTCTTCCAAGTTCCTATATTTATACCAAAATTGGTTCTACGGTTTAGTCGTGAAGGTGTTACAGACAGATAGTTACTTTAAGAGACCATTTTATCTTTATAAATAAAAGCATCATATGTTACTCTGATATATATATACAACGAGTAACAAACATCCATACATACAAACTTTTGTGTCTATAACATTCGTAAGCATGTCGGTATATATTAAATAAAAAATTTGAAAAATAAGCTTGTTTACTTTTTAATTGTAAACTTATAAACGTATATAATTTTAATAAAATTGCCACAAATAATATAAGTGGGGGTTTGTCGCAAAAGGTATCAAGTTTTTTACAGTCGTGCCACAGGCAAGCCCTAATGACTTTTATCTGTAGGACAGTCGACCTCTTTTTGATAGAGCGTTGAGGAACATTTTAATTGTCCATCCTGACAGTGAGATAAGCAATGTCTCGTTTTGAATACGTTCAATTCTCAGAGAGTAAATTAGCTTAAGATGGGCCTCATACCAAAATCACGTCCCAAGCCAACTCTAACATTTACTAGTAAAATTTATTTCTTTTTTTTTATCTTCGATTCTGAAGTTCATTAGTTAATTAAAGCCAAACAGGCTGAAATGATGATAATGATAATGATTAATTAATTTATTTATTTAAATTAAGGGCTACAATGGGCGGACTTAATGTTTAATGGCATTCTCTACCAATCAAACATTGTCATGGTAAAAAGCAGCAAAACATTGCAGGTATTATCGCAAAGTAAAAAAAAATGAAAATGAATAACTTTGTTGCTCCATCTATAACGCGGCCCAAATGATGAAATTTGAACACTAGAAAAAAAAAAGTCCGAATACGTCTGAAAATGTCAATTATCTTAAGGTCTGTAACTAACTTTTCTAAAACCAAATAAAAATTGCCAAACCTTCAAAATAAAAAATCAAAAATGACATTAGGAAGGTTGGCATGTATTTAAATTATGACATTCAAGGTTTTGTGGGGTCAATTTGTAATAAACTTCTGATAAAGTGAGATATAAAAAAGTATAATTTTTGATAAAAACCATTTCTAATTCCAAAGTATATCAAACACACGTATGTAATACCAATTCAATGGTAGTTCCAAGTAGGTATGTATCAAGCTGTTAACTCATATTCCTGGCAGAGAACCGGTGTTAACTGGACAGAATACTAGTAATCTTAGAAGTAAAACGAAAATTTTATTTAACCATAAGCACTGGATGGACATACTTTACTGGATCAAATATTTTTATCTGTTACCTTAAGATTTTAAACCATAAAATCAATTTAAACTCAAAAATACATACAATAATAACTTGTATGTTTTTAGAACTCGTGTGTTTAGAATTGGTAGATTTTTGTGCCAATATTTGTACGAGGCTACTTCCGATCCGTGTTAACCATGGTTTTCTTTCTATAAACTGGTTTCCATTTTACTTTGCAAGAACAAAGAGCATTGTTTGAGAAGAAAGTTAGCTACAATAGTGCAAAAACATTTGGTATCTATATAAATTTATAAGTGAAAACGAGCAATAAGGGCAAAAATCGATACTGTGATAGGTGTAACTACATAAACGTGTTGTAAAACATAAAAGTTAACCATGATTCGGTTACGTATTAATCCAGAGTGACGTCATCAAAAAAAGTAAAATGGCCTAAAAAGCGATCAAGCGACAAGAGCGCTCGAGGAGAGAACCCAATCGTTTACAATCACGAGCCGCAACACGCAGCGGGGCCGTTCCAATCAGGGGCGTCCATCCGCGTCAGTGTATACGACGGAATGCACGATCCGCGTCGCCCAGCGATCGCTCTACGTGGGTGTATGGGCGGCCGCCAACTGAAAACGGGCCCGCCAACCGTCCGCCGCGAGCGGCCCGCGACGTAGTCCGCCAGCGCCGGAAGGTTGGCGTTCCGATCTTCCGGCGCGAGTCTAGCAACGGAAGTGTGCGCCACGGGCGTGCGCGAACGCGCGAAGTTCGCGACGCGCGCCCGAGCCGGGCCAAACGGCGGTCACCCGTCGAGAGCGTAGGGCGTCGCTACGGCGCACAATGGGAGCGCAGTTTTCAACGCTCGAAAGCGAAGAGCGACCCGCGACTTTGTCCCAACGAACGAACGTTCGTCGGCCGGCCGTCGACTTGAGTCTTTTGAAAGCCGTCGAATGAGTAAACGCACAGTAGCATCGACACGACGGAACGTGTATTTTATTTTGTGCACTTTAATAGAGCGTTTATTTCCGGCCGGCCGTGCTGGGCGATGCAGCTCTAGCTGAATTACCACTGTAACTGTATATATTAAACGTACCTATGGTATAAGCGGTACTTTCTTCTTTGTATGCTTACACGTATCCGGTTATAGATCGATAGAGTATGAAAATTTTGTGCAAGGTATTATACAATGAAACTTGTGTGGACATACTAAAACATTAAGTTTTATTTTGATGCGATAGTAATTATATGTAATTCATTTTACTCGGCGCAAAGGAGCTTTCCACGAGCTTCGCAATATGTTACGGGCCACCCGCGGCGTTGTTTCGCTTAGTCACGCCGTAGTAAACGGAGCGCCATGTTAGAGCAATAAAACTTGCAAACAACTTGTTCGGGATGAAGAGCGTAACGATGGAGGTTTTCAGATTCAACGCGAATAACTCGGTCATTTCTTGTATCATTCATATAAAAGTAAAGGTATATAAACAAACAATTAAACGCTGTACTTGGGAAATTGCACAAATAACAGTTTCCTTTAATTTCCGTTTTTATTTTCCTTTCTGGCCAAAAACTTACAAAACAAACTTAATAATAAAAATAATTTTCAAAAGATTGGTTACATTCATAATAATCCTCAGAACTGACTTAGATAGTTTTGAATGGTACACTAATAGAGCACTACTGTTAAGTCGTAAAATTTAAATGTGGTGTACAAATATCTATTTCAAAGAAATAAACATTGATTTCACGTGGTGCGTTTTAGGACCTTCAAGAAGAATTTCTGGTTGTTACTAACACAACCCCCACAACTACTTTCAGCCTAGATTGACATAATTTTTCTAATTAGGTAACTACGCGTAACTTATAACCAGCCATAGTTTGATGTAGGATTGGGAAAAGTTATTAAAAGATCTTGCGACCTTGCTTGCACTCAGGGAGGACAGAGCTCATTTGGTGCCGAAGTGTCAATTGTTGAATTTTAAGTGTTACTAATTATGTTAAAAATTATGAAAACTAATGAACTATTAGAGAGCATGAAATTGTAATTTTTCAATTGCAAGATCATAAAAAGATTTATTCAAAGAAACGAATTTAAAGACAATTAATAACTTTAATAAAATCGAACAATAAGTATTTTCACGTATCATGTTATGAGCAAGCAAAGTTTGTTATTAAAGGAGTTTCGGCGCATAAATGTATAAGGCTACCATAATACTTTACGAAAGTCGAACGAAGTCTTTGCCTGTGTAGGTGTAACTAGGGAAAATGTTGAGTAAAGTTTGTAAACTCCACCACTTTTTCGGTAAGTTGAATAAGAGACATTTAAGATTACAATTTCACAATTGTATAACAACGCCTAGTCGGTCCCGTTGTTGATGCTTTCAAATAAATAGATTGCAAGTAGACGACCTACAATTACGACGTTAATACTTTTTTAGTTGCTGCTAACGGGGAGTTCAGTAGACTACATTTATTATTATATATTTTCGGGGAAAACAAAATGTATTCACATTGCTAGAAATATTAATAAAGATTATGATGATATTAGGTACGCATCTGACATGGCTTTGTTCGAGAAGACCAATTTATTTCTTTTCCATTTAATTATCTGTATATATAAAAATGAATCCCTATTTCCCTTGCTCACGTAATCACGCGTGAACGGATGGACCGATTTCACTTATTTTTTGTTGTGTTTTTTATTATCAGGAGATGGTTCTTATGAAAGAAAAAAATTAAAAAATTGCCTGAAAAGTCTAAAAACAACACTTTTCTATATTCCCGTACAAAAGATTCGTAATAATACTTAAAAGTCAATTTGAACTTTAATACCATACCATAAAGTTAAAGTGTTAGTGGAGAGGTTCCGGGAAGGCAAAACAAGTGAGTGACTGTGGTAAAATGTCACTTGAAATGTAAACGTCTCTTTGCTGTGCATCACTACATAGCATAAAA